GAGACTGCTCTGAAAAAGTGGCCCCGATCTGTCCTCGAGAACCGAGCTAATGGCGAACACAACGCCGCCATACCTCCCGCAGCGGCCCCTCGAGGAACTGCACGTTACTTCCATTTTGGCTTTCATCGGCCGTTATGATGGCGAAACAGATACAGCAGAAGAGGTTACAGGGGTGCCACCCCCGTCACTCCAGCGGACGCGCCGCGACTTACTACCGAAGTTAAAATTCCCCTAGGTAGGGACGTGCTACCTGAAAGCACTGCTGAGGCATGGTTGTATAGAAACAATATTAATTGTGCCGCAAAACCCTGCAAACAAAAGATAATAAAAACATCACGCGTTCTTCATTTTGTACGAAACTCCAACAAATTTCACACAAAAAGAGTCTTTTCCGTTTGGTTTTACGCAAAAACATGCTTCGTAAGAACTCAAGGTGACCACAGTACAGACAAATGATAAAGAGTGGCGCTGTTGTCGTATTTAGCTCGGTTTCGGTGGACGCTAGCGGCCCAAGTTTCGACGGTGAGTTTCTCAACAGAGTGTTTTAGCAACGTTGGTGCAAACCAACGTTATTAAAACACTCAGTTGGGAAACTCCCATAGAGACAGCTTTCAAAAAGTGGCCCCAATCTGTCTCCGAGCACCGAGCTAATGTCGAACACAACGCCACCATTTTTCACGCAGCGGCCTCTCGAAGAACTGCACGTGACTTCTATTTTGGCTTTAAGAACAGATACAGCGGTAGAGGTCACAGGGGTGCCACCCTCGTCACCCCCGTCACCCCGGCGGACCCGCCGCGCGTAACTTCTGACGTTAAAATGCACCTAGGTCAGGACGTGCTACCTGAAAGGCCTGCTGAGGAATGGTGGTATGAAAACAATAGTAATTGTTCCGCAAAACCTTGCGAACTAAAGATTTTAAAAACATAACGCGCCCCTCTTTTTGCATTGATCTCCAATAAATTTCATACAAAAAGAGTCTTTTTCGTTTGTTTTTACGCAAAAACAGGCTTTCAAAAAGCTCAAGGTGACCACAGTACAGACAAATGATAAAGAGTGGCGCTGTTGTCGCATTTAGCTCGGTCTCGGTGGACGCCAGCGGCCCAAGTTTCGACGGCGAGTTTCCCAACTGAGTGTTTTAGTAACGTTGGTGCAAACGAAGCTGATTGCAATAGCGATGGTCCAGGCGCAGTCTTCAAAAGGCTCTTCTTTATATTTTGGTTTTTGAAAAAGAAACTAAGCAAATTAGTATTATAGTACAATTAGTAGTGTCACTGTAATGTTGTAAAATATTTACAAAAATTTAGTCTATATTATGTTTTATCTAAACTTTGGGTTTTCTTTTCAATACAAAACCGAAACTATAGCTCAAGCACATTTCGTTCGTCGTATTCGTTTCCGTGCGTGTGTGCGTGCATGCGCCCGTGTTCGTGTGCGCGTGTAGATGCGTCCGCGTGATTGTTTGTGCTTGCATCTGCGTCTGCGTGCGCTGGCGCAATGTGCATGCTTGCGTACGCCTGTGGGCGCGTGTATGTGTGTGTCCGCGCGCGCGCAAGCATGCCTGTTTATGCGTTCTATTGAACTACGCCGCAAGAAGACTGGACGTCCCAGGGCACTGTAGAAAACACAAAAATTAATTTATTATTATTGTTATTATTATTAGAATGCGCCAGCGCGAAATCCAGTGGTTCTTCCTCAAGTGTGCAGTAAACATTAGTTGATTGATTGATTCATTGATTGAGCTTTATTATTGCTGGTCGTAATTTGAGACAGATGCCAATCGGCCACTTTCGCGAATAGGGCAAACATCCGTGGCCCTTCTAAATATCGCGCTTCGAACGTTCCTCGAGAAGTCCGACGCCTTGAGTGTCGCCATTTCAGCAGTTTGATTACCAATATGATTAATTCACTTACAGCATGTACAGTTCAAATTGTGGTACAACCAGATTTTCGTTTTCATATGGTATGACCACTATTTGAGCCGGTATAGCAGGCGACAAACAACTTATGCGATTTTCAATAAAATATTTTGCAGTTAAAGTGTTAAGTTCAAGATTACTGTTTTAGACAGAGGAGGGACTCGTGCATGAGTCCAAGTCTTCAACAAAGCGGTAAATTAAAAAAAAAAACGAATGCTTCCTTATTTTCTGGTGTGTTTCTCCGCCACTCACCACTTAAGTAAAACAAAGTCGCATACTAAAAAAAAGAACTGCGAAAGGTTTAAGTGGGACAAACTTTTAGTAACTGGAACTAATTTAGGCGGAACAGGTGATCAGCCTGCTCTAAATGCGCGTGTTCCATCTAAAAAAAACTAATTATAAAAATAAAAAAGCGTTCCATTTACAACCGCTTGATCCGCTAAAAATTTGCCAGGACTAAGTCAAAATAGGTGGAACGCCAGCTTTATGCAAAGTTTAACTGGAACCTTAGTGGAACAAGATAAAAATGTATAAATGCCTCACGCCTTGAAGGTGCGTTGAAGACGCTTCCGTGTTTATCGGAAGTGCGCCACTTTTTTATTTGTTTTATTTATTTACAGAAAAAAAAAACTGCAGCGCCGAAATATTCGGCAATATAGCAGGTACAGCGCATGGATTAACACGCTCAATAAAATAAAAATAGAATACTTGAATATACAACGTGGGCTCTCTATAAACGAAATACATAAACATTGAACATAAACAACATTAAAATTCAAGACCATTTCCTGATATAAATGGTCCCACGTCGTCACGAGTAGAAAAAAACTCTGGTAACAGGTTCCACCGAGCTATTATACGTGGAAAAAATTAAAACTTCTTATAATCTGTTCTACAAGAACTTTCCCTTATTTTTCTCGTATGATCCACATGATTTGAAATGTAGTTAGTTTATTTTATGTAGTTGCTTTTATCAATACCTTTCAGATCATTAAAAATTGCGAGCAAGAACCTGAATCAAAAATCTTTGCGCCTTGACAATAAAGTTTCCCAACCAAGTACATTTTTAGTCTCTTTTACGCTATCGTTCTTACAATGTTTTACTGTTACAAATCTCGCCGCACGGCTTTGAAGTTTTTCTAACTTATCTGCAAGGTACTTCTGATGCGGATCCCACCAAACACATGGGCATTCTAGTATAGGTCTTACCAAACAGCAATAGGCAGTCTCTTTTAGTTTCTGTGGAGCACTACGTAATATTCGAATAAGAAAATTTAAAGTGCGGCTGGCTTTCTTAGCAGTTTCAGTGACATGAACATTGAAAGAAAGGGTGCTTGACAAAGTAATTCCCAAATATATAACATCAGTGTTATTACTTAATCTAAGATCACCAATAAAATAGCATGATGGGACAGGATTACGTTTACTCCCAAAACTGACTTGCACACTCTTTTCCACATTTAAGCCCAACTCCAAAATTCTGCACCAATCTGATATTTTATCTAGGTCCGACTGCAAAAAAAGCTGAATCACCAAAACTGTCTACCCTGCTGTACAAAACACAATCGTCCGCAAACAGCCTTATGGGCGAGTTAATGGTTGATGATATGTCATTAATAAATACAAAAATAAAAGGAGTCCCAGCACTGAACCCTGCGGCACGCCAGAAGTCACACCAACAAGATCTGAGCTTGCACCATTTATGACGACACACTGCTTTCTCCCAGAAAGGCCCTAAAATCCTACAATCCTAAATAATACTATTGGCGCGCCTAAATTGTACTTGAAGTATCTACGGTTGCTTAGAGCGTACTTGGAGTAGGGTAGTAGTTATATTATTTAAATATACTTGGCAAGTATACTTGGGATCATGGAACGGCTCCCGCATGCCATAAACTACTACTCTGTTTTTTGTAATATTCTATTACACTCCCTGCCATACAGTACACTAGAAGTATGTCGAGTATACTTTTATTCCGCTCTTTTTCACTAAGGGGATGACGGCGAGACAGAAACGACTACGTCACATATATCAGCACATCAGGCGCTCTAGTTTTTGAATTGTGATGGAAAAGCCGATGGCTATCTCAAGACTTGACGCATTTTCACGCATTGTTTCAAATGAGTTAGACCTTAAGAATCGCTCCATTTGAAGCTGTAATTCTAATATCGCCCATCAAACTAAAAAAAAACATAACAGATTTTGGTTAATTAGTCATAAATAAAAAATAAAATAAAATAGAAATAAAATAAAATAAAATTAATAAAAAATATACTGGGGCGTTTATCAATTCATCTAATGTACGCTGAGCCTACTTGTATACACGGAACACGACCATCCAGATATCAATCGCTTCTTTTTTTCTAAATTATGCTGTTAAAAACAAAGAACACCCTTGTCCAAATAATCGAGCACCCTTCCAGCACCCTTCCAACACCCTTCCAGCACTCAGCACCCCTTGCAATGTATCGGAAGGGTGCTCGCGCCCATGCACCCACGCGCTCGTCATGACGGGTGCTAACCCTGCAAAAAAAAGGGTGCTGGATGGCTAATTGAAGGGTGCAAATCCCGCGCAGCACCCCTAAAGGGTGCTGTGCACCCTCAAAGGGTGCAAAAAAGTTAAGTGTGTAGAGCGCGTGCGCCACGCACCTTGAGCGCCGACTAAAGCCGGGCGCACGGCTTCAATCCGCATTCAGGGTGCGCGAGCCCACGCGCTCTCCATAAAAATAAACGTAACACATAGGCACGGACTTTGAAATGGTTTTGTTAAACATTCCGGCTATCTATCAATATACTTACAGATTTCCTACATTTGATCAAGCAGTGACCGTGGCCAATTGCATAATAATTGAAAACCTGAGACTGTGGTTTGAAAAACGAAAAAATGTGAAGTAGAAAGAAAAAGGGGCAGACAGCGTGCACCAGCTCGCCTGCACTTTAACCGTTTTTTCGGTAGCCAATCACTTTTTTTTCAGGAGACTCCGCTTCCACTGGAATTAAAATTATGCAGCATTCACTTTGCTGTCGTGTACAAAGTATACTTTATTTTTCAATTTCTTTATTTTTCCGAGGAGAGTACACTTTAAAGTTTCAAGATCCGCACGCTTTCCTCCCGCATTTTGTGCTTCCGAACCTTTCCGGTCTGAGTCCTCGGGAAGGAGTCTACGAACAACACAAATTCCGGAATTTCGAACTCGTGGAGCTGTAATTAAGAAATATTATGTTAGTCACGCGCACACTTTACAAGAAAACCTTTAAACTGTTTATGTGTTCGTGTTATTGCCTTGTTTGTTTTTGTTTGTTTTTGTGGCTCAGAAATTATAACGCTATTTTCGCTGCCTCCAAGCGCTGATAAAAATTAGCCATTTCCCAGCTTGCAGTGGCGAAAAGCTTGGGTCTGCTTTAAGCTTCTTTACCTTGGCGTCTCCATATATGCTTCAGATTTAAGGCCCGGTAAAAATGCAAGTGCCCAGTTGATGTTGTAGTCCACGGAAATTATTGCCGATGGTTTGGTGCTACCTGTTCCAGGAACATTACTACAATGAAAACGCCAATAAAGTGTTCCCTCTATTAGAGCCAACGCTGAACCAGTTTCACTTAAAGTAGGTGAGATGTGCTAGTACTCGTGTTTACGGCGGGTCGTGGGGCTAATTTTCAAGTGTTCAGAATTAGAGAGACGTTTGAACCATATTCGCTAGAGGAGCGCGAATGAGGACTGTAGTCGCATGTGACATAGTCGCTTTCGAAGCATAAGCGCACGGAAATGGGGATTGCTCTTTGTCAGGCGAGGGTGAATTGGAGAGTATCTTTTTCATAGAACGACTTTACACAAACGCCATTCTGGTTGCGACTACCTGTACGTAATATTAACTTCAGAGTTTTTTAAAACATGGCAAAATTCTTGCAGTATGTCAAAGTTTAGACGAGAAGAAACATATGCGAGTAAACAGTGGATGCGTCTTAACACGTGTAGTTTTGTGTAGATATATTTCCCGTACTCAGTTACCTTGTTGCTAAATGTGTTTGATAAATATGGAACAACTCGATGTTAGATTGCCTGCAGATGTTGAAATAGCATGTAGATATGCTTTAGATCGTATATTGGAGATGCCAGTGAGTGAACCTTGTGCCGAAATTCGGTGTACCGTCCACCACAAACCGCTGTCCAGTTATTGCTTAGGTAGTGGTTGAATAGCTACCCGATGTTGGCTTGAATGTTGGATCAATAGCCGTATAATATAAGCATAAATAATGGTCCAATTACCCCTTAGATGTTGGCTTAAAAGTGGTTAAAAACTGGATCCTGATGCACAACTCCGAAATCCCAAGTAATGTCAATATTAGAGTCAATATTTGGCGTTTGTGGGCCTATGTTCTTAAGAATACTGTGCTGCTTGGTATAGTTTTCTTTTCAAAAACTATCCTGTCCAATAAAAAAATCGCCGTCTAGATAGAAGTCTCCTAGCAATGTGAAATGTTTTCCTCTCATAATTACCTGATTGTACACTTGTTCTGTGACCATTCCTTTGCTATTAATATAACTTTGAGAGATTTTGATAAATTATGTCAAAAACGTTCCTATTTTACATTTTGTATTATAATTTTTTTAATTGCTAAATAAGAAAACAGGTATATCTGGGTGGTTGAAGATGGCCTCCGCCAGGCCCTTGCCTTTATGCTTACTTTCAGCTTTCTTTGTTCTGACGTTACTCAGAACTTTGCGTATATAAATTTTAGCCGCTATGCATCTTGAATTTTTTACATACGTCCTTCTCCTTGCAGAAGGCTTTTATGTCTTCTTGGGTCAAGGTTTTATCTGATTTCAGCTTGATCCACGCACAAACCTTCTCTACCGTCCTTTCATCTGGTACTCCAATTACCTGCCGAGAAGTAAAATAAAAAGAAAAGAAGACAAATTTATTTTAGCATATGCTGTTTTACAAAAGTACCGCTGTAGTTTTTTATCTGTGTACATTAGCAACAGCAAATACGTAACTAAATGGGCACCACCTCTCCTGGTTTCGTACATTCACAATACACCAAAACACATTTCGATTTTAGTTGGTGATTAGGTTCCTAATGGCCCTGATAAGGCTGCTCTCAGAGCTATACGCAATCGAATGTGAAAATTAGACGGTTAAATAACAATCATAAGCAATTAAAACTCCCACTAAGACATTTTTTTTCAGAAAACACAACGGTTTTCACAATTACCGATCATTCAGACTTCTTGTGTTACCGCTGGTAGAGGCGCCCGCCTTTGAAATGCCATGCTTTGTATTGCTTTCAGTTACTATGTGCTATGTGTTCATACTTTGTTGAGTTGCCACCTCCAGCGTTCAGTGTTATTCGCGCCCCATATGGGTTAGGGGTCTAGGGTTTTCCACATAAATTATGTTAGTAAGTTGTGGTGCTTCATCAAGAACTGACACATTCATGTGTCCCTGGTAGGCGAGAATGTGCTCTTTACCGTATAGTTTAGTGTAATTACACCCACTTTCGATGCTAACAAAGAAACAACCGTTTTGTACACAAATCAGACTTCAGAAAGGCTTTTAATATTAAAAATTAACTGCTTCAATATACGGACCCAGTTTGCGGCGGAACCGGGAACATAGAACGAAAGACCTGAGCGCCTGTCACAAGACTAGTCTTAAACAAATATTTAAAAGAAAAATAAGAAATGCAGCAAGGAACAACGAGAATTAATTCGGAAAAGATCTCTAAAGGTGTCACAGGTTCTCCTGTAAGAGTCTGATATATCCGTTGACAAGTAGACGAGACGAAAATAAGACAAAGGTTATTCCAAAAATTAAATTTAACTAATAACAGTAATAGATAAAGCAGCGATATAAGTAAGAGAGAAAATAATTTAAGTTTGGATCATACGTTATTTATAAAAAAAATCAATTCTGACTTGTTGACTGTAGGTTGAGGCGACCGCATCCCGTCTAGATGGGACGCCTTAAACTGACCCTTTGCAAAAACAAAACCAGCGCTTAGAAAAAAAAAATGATAGCTCTTTTTTTCTTTTCGACAGAAAGAAAAGAGGGAAGAACCGCTTTTTCGGCTCGCATCGTACTAACTAGGATGCTCCGCAAGCAAGAACTGCGTCGTAGATCGCCCTGTTTATTATAATGCCAGATCAGCGCGTCGTCAAAGATTGCTAGAAATATAAAACGAATAGGGTCTTTGTTTTTATTACGGTGACCAAGTGTGTCCGGGCAAAAAGGAAGCTTGTATTTCTGCCGTGAAGAAAGAGAAGTCTTACGGCTCACCATACATTCCGCAGAATGACGCCGCCAGTGAAAGACGTGGCTGACGGCGCTCCCCTGAAGGGCGTATGTGGCACGTGTGATGCGCGCTTCTATGGGAAACAGCAATATCTAATCTGGTCGGCTGGTTGCAACCGGCGCTTCCACTGCAAATGCCTGAACATTGGCCCGGAAGAATACATCTTTATGGAAAGTGGTGCTAGTACCTTTAAATGCAAAGACTGTACCCGGCAACGACGAAATTCGACAGATTGTGACATGGATACCAACCAAACCACTCAGCGTGTTCAGCTCCGTCCCCGCTGCAGCCGACCAAATTAACGCCAAGTGTTTTCCCCCTGATGTTCTTCGGTTCTTCAGCACTATGACTGTACAGTTGGACGCACTAACCGCAGAGGTAAAGTGCCGAAGGGTTGAAAATCGACAATTGCGTTCCGAGCTCATGTTGCTGAACAGGAGGATGCTCGATCGACTTCCTTCTGCGTCGGCTCCTCTCGGTTCATACTCAGCGGCACTGGCATCCTCGAAGGTTCTATCGGTTGTACCCGACCCACCAGCAGCGAGTGTAATCTCCGGACTGAAACCGGCTTCTAGCAAGGAAAGTGCCAGCAACATTGCTCCTGTGTCTATGGTTGCAAGTCCTTCTTGGCATGAAACGCCTGATGTGCCGGAGGACGACGGTTTCACCATGGTAGCGAGAAAGAAGCGAAATCCACCGAAGCCTGGAACGGCCAAGTCACTCAAGTTGACGTCTGCTCCTCGTCAACCTACGGCATTGTTTCTCTCGAGACTTTATCCTCGAACGTCTACAGATGACGTAAGGGATCTTGCTAGACCCATCTTGCCCACAGGTCTCGAACAGTCACGCAGCTACAACCTAAATTTAACTCTTATGCGTCTTTTGATCTCGAATGTGACTACTCTTTGTTTGACAGTTAAAACGTCCCTGAGGTGTGGCCTGAGGGGATTATTTTTCATCAGTTTTACGGCAAACTTGACAGGACTCGTTTATGTACCTGAGACAGAAAGCTTAGACGACGATGCATATACGGCCTAAGTTTTTTTTATCAGAATGCTCGTGGTTTAAGAACAAAAGCAGCGGAACTGATGACGAGTATTCTTTCAACTGATATAGACATAGTTTGTCTGACAGAAACGTGGCTCTGTGACAGAATAGCCAGTGTTGAATATTTTCCTCCAAACTATGTTGTTCACAGGAGAGATCGCGACTATGAAAACACGGGTCAAAAATTGGGAGGCGGGGATTTGGTGGCTGTTGTCTGTTCTGTCCAGTCGCTTCGAAGAGCTGATTTTGAAACCTATGCCGAGTGTGCTTGGGTGGAAATTCCTACCATCGACGGTTTCCAGTACTTAATAGGAAACTATTAATTCCCTCCACTTTTTGATGACGTTGCGTTTATTGACCATTATGAGACCCTCTTTAATACTGTTGACTTTCTCTAAATACAAGGTACAAATATATGGAAATTTTGCCCTTCCTGGTCTTGATTGGTCGACTGGAACGGTGTCGCATATGAATAGTGTTGCTTCTAAAAAAACGGAATGGTTACTTTCTTTTTAAAATTTCTGTGGGTTTACTCAGTTTAACTTTGGCAAAAATACTGCTGATAACGTGCTTGATTTATGCTTATCAAATGCACCCATAGAGTATCTTGTTCCGGCAGTTATACCTTAAATTTGGTGCCTGTCGATGCATATCATCCTCTCTTTGTAGTTCAGTTTTCTTTGTCATGTACGCCCCGTGCAAATTATCAGTTGTCGTCGTTTTGTTATCGAAATGGAGACTATGGCGGTTTCTACAACAGTCTTGTTCAGCATAATTGGTCTGATGTTTTATCGGATCAAAATGCTGATTCAGCCGCTAAAAATTGACTAAAGTTGTGTCTACTGCAATGGGCGTTTTTATTCCGAAACAGCAAGCACATAAATCTAAGTATCCCAGCTAGTTCTCTAGAGAGCTAAAACGCCTATTACGCAATAAGTATCACTGTAATCGAATGTATAAGAAAGCAGGACTTACCGTCTGGTACCATAAATTCAGTGTTTACCGTGCTCTGGTGAAAAACGTCTCTAAAAAGGATAACCTATTGCGCTCGTCGAATGTTGAAAAGAGTTTAACCAGAGAAAGAAAACCTCGGACGTTCTGGCGCTAAGCTAAAACCACATGCGCGAAAATGCACAAAACTTATGTTTACGTGAATCAACTGGCTATTTGTCCTCTCCAACTGACATAGCTAATTGTTTTTCTGATTACTTTAGTCACTGCTATTCTAGTTTGAGAACAGCCGGTGCATCCGACAACATTACCACCACATACTTTTTATCTGTTTTTACTGTCGATGTCTCAGAAGTTCTTTAGGCGATAAAAAAAAATTAAAACCTAAGTTCTCGACGGGAATTGACGGTATACCCGATTTTAATATTAAGTACTGTTCCGATATATTTGCTCCCATTTTGGAACATATATTTAACCTATGTATCATGAAGTGTACTTTCCCTAGTTTGTGGAAGTCTTCTATAGTTGTGCCCATATTCAAAGCTGGTGATTCGTCATTAGTTAGTAACTATCGTCCTGTTTCGTTATTTTGCGGTTTTGCGAAGGTTTTCGAAATGTTATGCATAACCGGATCTCAATTTTCCTTAGTAAAAAAATTAGTCCTTTTCAGCATGTTTTTTTTTAAAGAAAAGTCCGTTGAAACACATTTTTGCTCTTTTCTAGATTTCTCTGTGCCGATAGTCACAGAGGCCAAATTGATGCCGAATATTTTGAAATGTCGAAGGCTTTTGACCGTGTAGATCATACTTCACTCCTCTGCAAACTTTCTTTTTATGGCATGTGCCCAAAGCTTTGTGAATGGTTCAGGAGCTACTTTTGTTTACGCAGCAATACTGTTCGTGTTCGCAACTGTTTTTCGAAGTGTTTTACATAAACTTCTGGTGTACCCAAGGTTCGAACCTGGGATCACTGTTGTTTATTTTGTTTGTAAATGATATAGTGTCATGCGTCAATCACTCAAACATCCTTCTTTTTGCTGACGACATAAAACCCTTTTTAAATATAAAGGACCATCTGATTGTACTCTATGGCGAACTGATATTGGTGCAATTTCAGAGTGGTGTGGAAAAAATGCTTTGTCGCTAAATCCTGGAAAAACTAAATTGATTTCTTTATCGAGAAAGCGGGACGTTTCTTTTTACCCTTACGTGCTCGAGGGGAATATGATAGATCGTGTATCTCTGGTAAGAGACCCTGGCGTCTATATCGATAGTACTCTATCACTCACTGCGCACGTTCCTAAGATCGTTGGATCAGCGATATGGAAGTTGGGAATGATCACGCATCTAGCGAGTTCTTTCACATCACCATTATCTGTAGTGCGTTTATTTGTAGCCTTGTACGCTGAGGACTTGAATTTGGTTCGATCAGTTGGAATTCACTATATTTAACACAAGTTGAAATCACTGAGCGGGTGCAGAAGAAATTTATGCGAATTATTTATAACCGATACATTGGTCGGAAACTCTTTTTTAGTTACGATCTGTTGCTGTCTTTATTTAGCCTTGAAAGGCTATCAACGAGGAGG